GGACTAAAATTGTTCATACACTAAATTAGAAAGACCAAAAGTGTAATTAAGCCAAAAGAATAAAACTCAAATAATTATGAAGACATTATTTTTTTTAATTTTCTTATAACAAAATATATAATATAAAAAAATAAAAGCTCAAGAAATAAACTTGTAAAATGTGAAATAAATACTTACTAAGTAAACTCATTCTCCGATCTTAACCTACGTGGCACTCTACCAACGTTTCCACCAATAAGAGTACTATTTCAATCAAACAATATTATTTAGCATAAAAATTGATATAATTAAATAATTTGTTAAAATGTAAACCTTTTGTATGAAATGAATGCTTGAGTGTTTGGAATGGAGGTGCGTTACACAGCTGTGGCCAGCTATAGAACAGCTTCAAAGCAGTCACAAAAAGACAAAACAGTGAAAAGAAAAGTATGCCATGAAAACACAATGACAATGTCAATGGATGTTCCTAACCAAATTCTTATTGAGGTTACTGAATTTCAGTGATAGATACTAGACAGAAGCTACCATGTCAAGTGTCAAGGTAAGTTATCATTACCAAAATTAAAGGCATCACAATTCACATATTCGAAACCCCATTGTGTACCATAATTCACTCAACATTAGTGATTTTAAGACGATGACAACCACTTTGTGTTCATCTTGCAAAAATTTGGAAGTTAACTCTTTATTTGACTAATCTTTAGCTGGAAAAATGATTGATATAAAGAAAAATGTGATATAAAAGAAGAGAAGGACAGAAAAAAGAATGAAAAATGTCAATTAAATATTTAAATCAGAATTCTCTCAAATGCTCATAAAAATATAAGTTACTAATTAAGGTCAATAATGTGCAGGAAGCAACAAGCACGTATGCAGCCAACGTATTACTCAACATGCATGACGTATATGTCTTTACTCTTTGTCAATTTTATATGAAGCCAATTAATTCGTTCGGTGAATTTAAAAGATGAGAAGTGATTAATATGATGGACACTTCTTTTCAAATTAAGTTGATTATTATTTTTCTTATCTGTCATGTCAGAATTATACTGATAGTGTAGGATTTAATTTTAAGGGTTTATACATATACTACTTCAATTTCATAATTAAACTGATCGTAGTGAGTTCATTGTTTTATTAAATAGATATTCATTTTTATTTTCATATATTTTAAACATTACTTGATTTTTTACTCACTTGAATGACAAGTTTTGCATTGTGAGATGTTGGGATTATTTTTATGGTATTTGTTTGAAAGGATATTTTATGAAGATTGTTTTATAAGATTATTATACAAATATCATCCACAATGATGAGATATTGTCCGCTTTAGACCTTAGTCCTCACGATTTTGCTTTTGATCATTATTCAAAAGATTTCTTAATCAATAAAGTATGTTTGTGCTATATATATAAGTTGTTATTTCTTGTTTTATTTTATGGGACTTGTTTGTATCTCAACATAAGACACAATCCACAAGGCTTGTCAAAGTCTCAACTTTTTGTAAGAACAAGATATGTTATGGACATATTGATAGCATATACAACTCACTGTGAGTATACCATATGACTTGAGAACATCAATGTCAATTCATCATCCAAAGAGAGGGCCAAGTGTTCACACAGGTGGCAATCAACTTTTTGTAATATAGTTACCATTCATTAGATTTTTTATGCTAATTAACTTTAAATTATTTTAGTACTAAAATATAATTAATAACTTAAATTGAAATTTTATATTCTCACGTAATCTTCTTCCATCATCGAAAACAGCGAGGTAATGAAAAGATATTCACATGTATATCTTTTATTCTCAAGAATATAAAACACCTATATTTTTGCATGTTTTTCATCCTCACGGTAATGGTGAGTATCTTACATTTCCTTAGAAATTGAAGTTTATTTATTTTTTTCTATTAACTACCTCTCTCTATTTCATTATTTCATATTTCTTCATCCATTTTTTTTTCAATTTTTAATTAAATAAGAATATTTTTTTAGTGAAATTAATAAATGCCAACTAAATCCGTTCATAAGAATAATATTTCTATGTATTATATTCTTAGGAATACAAACAAATGTCCTTTGGAATAAAGGGTGGAGATAGTTCTGAATCAAACCAATAAAATTTAATGATTCCAAAATCAAATTGAAAGCTAAAATTCATATTAATTCAAACTATTGAATTAGTTCAAATTTGAAATTTACAAATTCAGTTACTTAATTGGTTTGAATCTTGAATTTTAATTTCTACAAATCGATCCATCAAATTAAGTAAATGTCCAATTTTTTTATTATTAGGTTTGGTTTGAGTTGTGAAATCAAACTTTTAGTAAAAGATAAACTATATGAGAGTTCTTCTTTAACATGTCACTATTATCAAATAAAATTCATTTTTTCTTTTCTCATTGTGTATCTCAATTGAGTGTGACATATTTAAGTTTTAATTTAACAAAGTTAATTAGTTTTTAAGTTTGTAATATTTTAAGTAGAGTATTTTATAATGTTGACAAATAAATTTATAGTATTAAATATTTTATTAATTAGACTTAATAACATGATAATATGTTTTATAAGTTAGATGTGGACTATTATGGATCAGCTTCATAGAAAATCTACAGAAGACCATTCATTTAAGTCGTTAGATCTATGTAATTAATATTCACAATGATATCATGCAGCGTCACTCACCTCCCTCAGGAAACCATTGTGTATCGAGATGTTATGGTGACGAGAGTATTGAAGAACAAGAAGAAGCCAATTATGGTGACAAGGAGGGTGAGAGAGGATGAGGAAAGAAAAAAATCAAACACACGAGATGTAAGATATTATCGTAACTGCTATATCCATATAACGGTTTAAATTAATGGTCCAACATAGCACTACTACAAGTTGTTCAATGATTTTTACTTTTTTATTATTATTATTATTTTAATAATAAATTCAATAAGGGGATTCAAATTAAATTGAAACAAAAAAATATTATAAGGGACCAAATTAGATTTTTAACCAAAAAAATAATAATAAGAGTTTAAAAATTAAAGTTATGATTATCTAAAAAATTGTTTACAAAATATATATCCGTAAAAACATTCTTATACTATTTTATATTTATCAGCTAGTATAACAACTTATTTTATCAAACATTTTTAATTACTCACGGATGGGAGTTGGTTGAGTGGGACGACCGCTATCGGGATGGGTGGCGCAATTCGTGATTGGGCAGGTATGTGGCGGGGGAGTTTTTCGCGCGGGGCTTTACATGGGGATGCGTTACGTGCCGAGCTGTTGGCCTTGGAGGATGACTTATCGTTTTGTTGGGAAGGTGGGTTTCGGAAGGTGAGTTGCGAATGTGATTGCCTGGGAGCTGTTACGCTGTTTCAGGATCGGTCAACGGCTAGGGATTACCTGCATAAACACTATGATGTCATTCGTCGTGTTAAGCGCATGCTAGCTCGGGACTGGGTAGTGTACGTCAGTCATATCCCTCGAGAGATAAATTCAGTAGCCCATACGCTTGCTAATTGGGGTGTACGGAACCTAGATTCCAATGTATTTTGGAGGAGTCCTCCAGACTTTATCTTGCTACCGTTAGGGAGAGACTCTATGTCTTGAGTTTGTCTGTTTGTTTTAGTTTTCATACCTTACCAAAAAAAAAACATTTTTAATTAAATAAATTAGCTTAACAATTTTAATTAAAAAAATTCAATTTTAAACTAACTTGTCGATTACTTTTGAAAAACATAGCCAAAGTCTCCTACACTGAAATAAAAATTCCTTGAATGATTGGATTCAATCAAATCATATTCACACGTTATATGATTTGATTAATTTGTTGAATCCTCCATGAATCACATAGTTTCCCTTTTGATGTCCCCCACCCATAGGATAGTTGCTTCACATTTCCACATGGCCATGATAAGATTTCCCAGGAAGAAACTTGCTTCAATTCCACTTTTACCCAATTTTTGAACATTATTTCATCTGTTCGGTTAATATTATTGAATCAGTTATTCCCCACCAAATTGGTTGTCAATATGACATAAAATATGATTAGATGCATGCTTGCACAGTTGAAAACTCAACTGTTTAGCTTCACATATAGTGCGCTGGCCCTACATCCATGATCTCACTCTCACATTCATCTTTCACTTTTGGGGGTCAATATTATTTTAATACAAAGGTTGTCAATTTCTAAACTTGTTTTTGCATGGAAGAAGAAAATATAATGACAAAGATAATGAAAGAGAAGACAATATGGTCGACTGGCTTAACCAATGAGTCTACAGCTGTTGTTGACATAATGAATCCTAATCAGTTCACACTCTGGCTAGTTGCCAATTAATTAAATTAAATCTCAAGTAGTAACTATGGTTTTGTTTATTAGATGTTAAAAGAACCTTCCCATTTGTAGGATCATTAACAAATCTTGGCTCTGATTGTACCCTTGATTTGTGTGTATCTTTGCTTTTGGTTCCCTGTCGTCATCAGTTTTGGTGTTTGCTGATGTATTAATTTCTAAATCTGTAGCAGTGGTAAATCTGCACGTAGTAGTAACAGATTTAGGTATCTGCATTATTGTTCTAATAATAATAAAAATAACCATTTGGAGTTTTTAATGTTTTGGGCTAGATTTTGCTATTAGCTAGTTGCCTAATTGAATATGAAACATAATATTCAAAAAACATATTTGTTTACTCGCAATGAATACTATATTAGTCCAACAGTTTTGTGTGTTGGTGCTGGCTCAATGATTTATCTTTCATAGAGAAATTATATTTCATTAAATTATTTCTATATTAAAGAAAAGAGAATTGTGTGATAAGCGATAATAACTGATGGAATAGGAGGAAAAATATGCTGTAACTCTTTTATGTATGATACTCCTCTTGAAAGTGACATTTGGTTTTATTGGATTTTACTTCAAGTTTCTTCCGAAATTTCAATTAACAAGATTGTTTTTCTTTTAGGACTTTGTTTCCTTGTGTTTTATCGTCAAACAACTGCGAAGTGCTGTGAGGACCAGTATTATTATTTTTTACCTCAGGCAACTTGTGGTTGTGGATATCTTGCTATATAGTCACATTTTCTGTCCTTTTTCCTTTTGGCTCTATAGGAATCTCCCTTCTATTGTGCACTCAAATAACTCCAACTTTGTTTTGTTAATTGTTACAATCTGAGAAGACCTCTTATTTAAATATTGGCTGCCAAATAGTGCCTAAAACATGTCAGAGACTGTTTCCATATTTAAGAGCTAGAGCCTCTGAAAATCTTGCACAGTACACAAAACAAGTGTTTTTTGGGTTCAGTTGTAGTATTTTGACTTGAAAGAATGAAAACAAGGAGAGGAAAACGCTCAGAGGTAAGCCTCAATAATCAACATGCCTCGTAAACTTACCTCTGACTGGTGTTGAAGGATAAATGTTTCTTAGAAACTTCTAAATTTGTCTCATTGCAGGCCTTTTGGCCCTCCCTTGTGATGAAGAAATGGTTAAACATAAAGCCAAAGGTGTATGATTTTAGTGAAGATGAGGTGGACACCGAAACTGAAAGTGAAGATGATGGTATGCTTTAGGCTATACTATATTCTTTTTCCTGTTTAGCTTGATCTTTTTCTCTTTTCATTTTTTCCCCTTCTTTGTTGTTTCAATTTTCATTCAGCCTGCTCTCTTAAAGAATCAAGATTGGGTGTGCGTGAAGATAATCATCCACTTAGAACACAATCCATATTCCCAAGTCAAACATCAGGCAATACTTTATTCCTTTGTATTACTATATACTTTGGTTCTTTAAAAGGAGAATATGTGCTCTTTGCTTTTATACACCTTCTACCATTGCTTGTTCTGGTTACATAATTAGTTATTGGAGTAGATTGCTACGAAATCTAGAATCTAAACACGGTATCTTACCATGTTAGACATTGCAATTACATGTTGATATTTATGGTGCAAGTATGGAGCTGAAATGTTCCTTGGAAAAACAAAGGAATTCTGAAGCAAATTCCAAATGTTACTAAGTACAAAGTATATGGAAATTAAATTTTTAAGCCAACTAGCTTGACTATTTTGTGAACTTCAAATGGTTGATTGTATTTTACACCTGACTGAGTTTTCAGAGTGTTAAAATCAACATCATATTTGATTTTATTTTGTAATTCAGATACATTTTGTAAGGGCTATAAGATGAGACATAGAAGAGGGAAATCAGAAACTCTGCGTGTTCAATACATAAATACAAAGGAAGTGAGGTCTGGTGGTATTAATCTACGTTATGTATTGTATTATTAATTTGATTAATGAAAATGCATCATAAAACGGTTAATTTGCAGGGTAACAATTGGCACGTGGAATGTTGCTGGAAGACTTCCATGTAAGGATCTTGATATTGAGGATTGGCTTTGTACCAATGAGCCAGCAGATATTTACATTATTGGGTAAGTAGTTTATTCAGTTGCCTAATGCTTTACTATTTCAAACGTGTTCAGGGTGCACCCGTGTCCTATGTTTGCTTCTTCAACATAAGGAACAATTTTTTGGATCATTCACGATATTTTTGGTAGAACTTAATATACTATATTGGCTTACATATCAATGATATCATTATCACCTGATATGCTATATAGCTTTATTCTTGCACATCTTGTTTGTGATAAAGTTCGTGGTGTTTCACTTGTGTTAAGTGCATTAATTTCATATGATTGTCTTTTTTCCCTATTTAAGTATTTTGCTTGCCTTATTTAAATAGAGTGCGAGTCTGATAAGTTTTTTAATTGAATAAGTCCATCAAAAAGATTAATTGATGCTATATGCGACTTATGGCAATACCTTTCTTTCCTATGTAATTAGGTAAGTGATATGATTGATCATAAGTTCATGTTTTTAGATGGAAATGCCTATTTATCTACGAAACAATGGCTGCTTTTAGGAATAAAAGAAAGATATCATGTTCTTGGTAAAGCAACACCTTTTAGCTATATTTAAACTCATTCCAAGTCCCTAAAAAAATCACCTAGGATTTTATTTACATCATGCTTTAAGTGAAATTTTAATATACAATAGGATGTTGAATTTTCTTGCTTATGGTTCGCTAGAATGGATCCAGCCTTTCAAACCCATGAAGTTTTTCTTTGCCATTCCTTATGAAAGGGTTGTCAGATGTGATTTCCATATCAGAAATCTAATGATGAGTTTAATTCATGTAACTTATCATCAGTATATTTTTAATAAGGCTATATTCAATGGTAATTTTCTCACATGCGCTAATCAGAGATCAACATCTTATCTTGTTTAACTTTCATTTTCCCGAGTAGTTCTTTTGTTGTTTTCTCTGTAATGTACATGATGCAATGTATCTATCCATGTAAGAAAAAGATTGATGCTTAGAACTCATTCTATTTGACCTGGCTTCCAATTTAAGGAAAAGCTACATCAGCATTTCCGATATGAACTGAATTGAATGGTCCAGATTTGCCACACATATCCTTCTACTTAAGTTTTTTAAAAACATGTTTGGATAAACTTCTCTATAAATATTTCTAGAACAAATAAAAAATTGAAATGAAAATTCATAGGCTAAAACTAATTTATGCAAAAATCAAAATTAAGTTTTTGAATAAGCTAGTAAGAAAAAGTTTATATATAAACTAATTTTAACTTATGAAACAAGTTTATTGGATCAGACCCTAAGTTTCTTTGATATGTGGGGATGGATCCTCCCATCCACATAATAAGTCATTGAAACTTTGTGTCTATGTCTCTCTTAATAAATCTTAAATAGGACCCATTTATTCAATGTTTATCAGGAGAGAGATAAACACAAACATTCTGTGACCATAATCATATATTAAAATCCAACATGAGAGTATCCATTTCTGCTTTTTCAGAGTGTTTGTAAAATTGGTCTTCTGATCGCTTCTGTGTGATTAATGGATTGCTTTCAACAACAGTTTCCAAGAGGTAGTCCCCTTGAATGCTGGAAATGTTCTTGGGGCAGAGGATAATACACCTATCCGAAAATGGGAAGCAATCATTAGAAGAACTCTTAACAAATCTTCTGAACTTGAAAGCAAGCACAAAAGCTACAGTGCCCCTACTTCTCCTGTTCTAAGAACTTCTGCTTCTGCAAATGTTCTAGCAGACACTTCAGATGTTAATCCACTAGACACAATGAATGAGGAGTATTTAAGAACTTTTGATAATGATGACCTTGAACAAGAGGAGTTGAAAGACAAAATTGGTAGCATAGGAAAGAACTTACAGTTGAGGAAAATACATGACATTGATCTTCAGACAATACTTGACTGGCCTGAACGTCCATTAGATGCAATCACACATACTGATTCCAGTCCAAAGTTGCGTAGAGTACTAAGCAGCTCGGCCAGAATTGGCTTTAATTGGACAGATAATTCTTCAAAATATGGAGGTGTGATGAAACGGTCACACCATAGTTCTGGAAATTTGGGCTTGTTATTGAAAGAGCAGCAAGTGATGCCTGAAGAAGTAATGGATACCCTTGATGACTTATCTGACATGTTATCGGATGAGGAAGATGATGCTTTCTATGAATTACCAAATGACAAAGAAAATAATGGAGTAGGTAACGTGAAATCACACCGTAAGTATGTCCGGATTGTGAGCAAACAGATGGTAGGAATATATGTGTCCATTTGGGTGCAAAGGAGGTTGAGAAGGCACATTAATAACTTGAAAGTTTCTCCAGTTGGAGTTGGTCTTATGGGCTACATGGGAAACAAGGTATGGTGTAATGCACTTTTTCACACTGAATTTGACATCATTATAATTTATAACATAGGTGTATAGTTAATGGAACCAACTTCCAAGATAATAGGAATTTCAATATCAAGTATTAGCAAGGCATCATAGAACTTCTCAGCAATTTAGTATGTGATGCACTTTATGCATTCTATGATCAGTGCAAAAAGTCTGTAGACTGGTCACGTTGCACCTCAGCATGTTGTGGAAGGATGCTTGCAGAGAAGTGTCTCATTTGTTCACTCGTGATGAAGTTTTTTTAAGAGACAAAGTAGTGCCCTACATGTTATGTTGTGTTGCAATGTGATCCATAGCAGGCTATGTGCATTGTTATATGTAGAGCAAAGGAAAACTCACATTTTGTGTGCATTTACAATTTGAACTTTGAGCTTGTTGACTCTAAGTGAATGTGATAGTGATTATGATTTATGTCTGATGCAGGGGTCTGTTTCAGTTAGTATGTCTCTCTTTCAGTCACGTTTGTGCTTTGTTTGTTCCCATCTGACTTCTGGTCAGAAGGATGGGGCAGAAATAAGACGAAACTCAGATGTTCATGAAATTCTTCGCCGCACTTGTTTCTCATCTGTTTTTGATGCAGATCAACCACAAACAATCCCATCTCATGAGTAAGTTTTACCATACGTTGAAAGTTGTCCTTTATAATCACCTTTTGAGTTTCACAAAATAAAAGGGCTGCTATTGAATGTTAATCTAAAGATGTATTACTCTGCCCAGTGCCCATCCTATTATTAGTTTCAAAATTGAAAAATAAATAGTTATGCTTTATAGTTGTACCATCATACCATCCATGAATATGTCAATGAATTTAAAGAATCTATATCAACAAAGATAACTAGTTGAATGGAGAAATAACTAAACTCGACTGAGGAAATTACATGAAGGTAAAAAGTCTAATTTGATTTCTAAGTAAACAGAACAAATGTACGCTAAAACACAGATGAGGAGAAAGTAATTTACTGGTTGAAGGAACAAAAGTAGTTCATAGAAAAAAGGACAAAGTAAAAACTGAAAATGGTGACATATAATATGTTTACTGTTGCTGTTATAAACATTATGGATTCATTGATGGGTTGCTCCCTGCCAACAGTCAAATTTTCTGGTTTGGGGATTTGAATTATCGTATCAATATGATGGATGGGGAGGTTCGAAAGCTGGTAGCTCTAAAGAAATGGGATGAACTGATGAATTATGATCAGGTGAGAATAGTGAAGCCTGGACTAGCCTATTGGTATCAAAAGTGATTTTATAATTTTTATCAAATAATTGCTGCTACAAAATTTGCATGCTACAAAATCTAGACCTAGAGATGAAAAATAGATTTGAAGTGTTGGCACCAAACTTGGATTAATTTGTTGATCAACATGACTTTTTATCTACAAGTAATTCTGATTGTTTCACCTGATTTGCAGCTAAGTAATGAATTATGTAGTGGGCATGTGTTTGATGGATGGAAGGAGGGTTTGATAACCTTCCCACCCACTTACAAATATGAGATTAATTCTGATAAATATATTGGTGAGAACCCAAAAGAAGGGGAAAAGAAGAGATCACCAGCCTGGTAAGTGTAAACTTGTGAATGCTTTGTTATCATTCAGTTGATTAAGATGGATGCAATAAGTGATCCTGTGTGAGATTATACAGGTGTGATCGTATATTGTGGCTAGGAAAAGGAATAAGGCAACTCGAATACAGGCGTTCAGAAAATAAGCTCTCAGATCATCGACCAGTTAGTTCAATATTCTCGGTTGATGTTGAAGTATTTGACCACCGCAAACTACAACGAGCTCTAAATTTCACAAGTGCAGCAGTACACCCTGAGGTTTTCCTTACAGAAGATGGTGATTTCACATATTAGATATTCACCATATATCGGGTTCTACATACATACAAATACAGGTAAATATATACACATCAATGTTCATATCTAATATAATATCGATTAATTCATCTAGGTTCAAATCAAATATATGATATGGTTGACTGTAATTCACATCAGTTAACATCTTTTTAATTCAAGTCAAAGATAGTGCTTAATGATTTCTTAAGCAATAAAATACGAGATGGCCTCCCGATTACATGACAACGCATGAGGCACAGTAAATTCTAGATCTACATTAGAGGGTTCAACTTTGAAAAATGGACTAATTCCCACTTAATTAGTTTGATTAAAAGGAAAAAAAATACAGTTAAATTTGCTCTATTTTTATCACTCTAATGTAATAATGTTTGTTCTCTCACAGGGTGAAAGAATACGAGGTTTGAACTTTGGCTTTGAAAGAGTCAAGATGTCAAGATAAACTCTCACCTCAAGTTTGGCATGCGGCCTCCTTTTTAAGTCAATTTTTTGGAGTTTAAATCTTAGTAGTGATAGATATTAAAAAAAAAAACAAAAAAAACAAATGTACATAGACATACGTTAGATACTGTGTATGACAGTAAAGTTTTTATTTTTCTTGAATCCTGCACTTTGTAGCTGGTAGACAACGATTGTCCAATTTTGATCTCACTAGGTTTCCAGTTCAACCTTAATACTATATATCCTAATACTACATATCTTTAATAACTAAGTGTCTTAACTTAGTTAACTAAGTGGCGTCTTAACTTAGTTTGACACTTTACACATATTATGACTTAAAGCTGATAATGTTATTCTTCATTCTTAATTGGTCTTTAATTCTTTGTCCATTTAAATTGACTAATTCATAATTTTCACCTCAATCAAAAATTTATTCGGAGATAAAAATTTGCATTTATCTTGTAAATCTTTGTTCTACACTTCATTTTCACCTAATTCAAATCTGTCTTTTTAAGTATGTTGTTACTGTATAAGGTTTTCTTGTTTTGTCCGATGATATTGAGAGTATAAGGTTGAGTAAATGCATGTAACTTCCTTTCATGATGCCAGTTGTATAATATAATTAATTCAATAAAAAAATATAATATAAAAATGCTATCTTTATAATTATCCAGATTCCTTCCAAAAGAATTTGAATCGTCTACAAAAACCAATTTATGAGCAAAACAAAATATTAAAACATCATATAAAAATTATCCATATGCAGTGAAGGTTGTGGGCATCAGTTCTCCAAGGTGATATAGCATCAATGATAATTCAGACGCAAATTACCCATTTACGATATGAGATTCATCACACGCCCATTCTCAATTTTGATTTCAACTTACCAAAAACCAAAGTTAAACATTCAAAAATCAAAGAGAAGCAATAAAAAAAACCTTAAAACTTTAACAAAATCCCTAAATATAATAATAAAAATCTTGGATGAGGCAATGAAGATAGCGATCAGAACCTGTCGGGATTCATGTATACATCACACTAATATCAGCGGATTGACAGATAAATGAATTTCTATCATCACCTCGCTTTTCCCTCTCCATTACCATCCAACAAATTTTCAAATCTCGAAATAAATAAAAGAAACTAAAACGATAATCAAACAACAGTTCATAAAATTATAAAATAAAATAAATAAATAAATAACATAAAAAGTTTGAATGTTGAGCTCAGAACTTCTTAGAGGATATGTGAGCCGTCACAGACGAGCAGAACAAACGACTCGCCTCCGGCACAAAAAATCGTCATCACAGACTCAGCATCTTCGGATAATCATAAAAAACCATATTTAAGGAAAAGAAATTTGGGGAGAAAAAAAAAACGCCGAGTTACTCAGCCCCAAATTCAACAGCGCGAAATACTTAGCCTAGAAAAAACGAACAATACCAAAATAATAGAAGAAAAAAACACGCTTTGACGAGAAGTGAAGCTGGAATTCGCCGCAGTTGAGTGGTGTTCTGATTGAAAAGAAAGAAATTGGCGATAATTTATAGATACAAATTAGGGTTTTATCGTTTTAGGCACGCACGACTAGGGTTCCGCTCGGGAAGGTAGACCCAGTTGGATCGGATAGATTTACATGCACATTTTGTAGGCCCAATAAGTAATGTATATTATGGGTACTTCGATAGTTGGGTAGACAGGCCCATTAGGCTCATAATATAAAATGTATAAAAAAAAACGAATTATAACGTAAATAAAATTAATAAATGGCTTTCACTATAATTTTTTATCTTATTTTTGGTGAGAAAAAAAAAAAGATCACTACTATGATCGAAATATTTTTAATACAAGTAATTAATATTGATTTATTATATGCAGTAATAAAGTCTTTCACAGAAATTTGTGACAAACATCTTGTTTGTTCTTCTTTTATATTTCATGAGTGGACTTATTAAAAGAATCACGCGTGAAATCTAATCAAAACTAGGTAGAAAATTAATTGAATTTGACTAATTTCTTGTGATAAATTTGAAATAGAAAGTCAGGATTCGTTTTCAAGAAAATAATGCATTTTGTGAAATCAACAATTCCCCACATTATAATGCATTTTGTAAAATCAATAATCCACCATGATATAACATTTTATTTTAAGTTTGTCATTTTTTATTTTCAGGATAGAAATATTATTTCTAAATATAATTAAAAAAATATTAAGAATTAACTCTTACACATTAAAAAAAGTCTATATTACATAAATATTTTTAAGAATTTTTCTTTGACGAAAAAAATTTAAAGGATTATTTTAATTTCATATTTAACTAATATTTTAGCAAAAAAATTTAGGAATTATTATTCAAGAAAGCAGAATAATCATGCATGGATGTATACACACACAAACTATGCAAGATCAATTATAGATAAAAGATCCACCTCGAAATATTGTATACTTTTGAGAGAAAAATTAGAGACATTAAAGAACAATTAAAATGTTACAAGTGTCGCCAAAAAGTTTTGTATTACTTTTGACGGGTTATGGATGAATTTTTTACTTAAAAAATATAAAGATCATATTAGGTTTTTGTGATAAATGTTTCACTATTAATATTGTACTTACTCTAATACAACTTGATAAAATCAAACACATCAAAATAGACTAAGTGTATGTTTAGAAACTTATCTGCATCGATGTAAAAAAAAAAAAAAGAGTTAATCATCCATACATTGTTAGTGTAAAGTTTTTTACACTAGTAACCAATCATATCTTTTAAATTATTTTATTTTATTTTTAGTTCATTAAATAAGCAAGTAACATAACACTATTAAAAAATATGATTAGTTGCCATTATAAAAAAACTTTACACTAGCGGTGTATAGGTAATTAACTCAACAAAAAATTCCACTTTCCAATACATAAAAGTACAAAATAAGATTTTCTTATTTTTTTATTGAACGTCCGTTTAAGAGACTTTAAACAACAAGACAAATACACCTTAATACCTCGAACTTTTACAATGACTACATACATCCATTCAATGCTTCAATTACCATATCTATCCACACAAAAAAAAAACTCTCCAAACAATGATTTCAAGATCTTATTTACATACTAAGAATGATAAACATGCATTTACTAGCTTGAAGGAGCATTGGTAAGGATTATAGATTTTCTAATTCCCTAATTTACCAATTTATTTACACTTACATTATTGTAACTAAGAAAAAAGAGACATTTCCTCTCTATATATTTATTTTTTTAAAAAAATTAAAATTAAAATAAAGATAAAGATAATAAAAGTTAAATAATAATAAGTGTTTTTATAATTGAATAGAAAATTGTTTGAAGTAATTATAAAGATAAAACAATTTAAAGAAATGTAAGCAATTTTTTAAAGAGTGAAGTACTTAGAGTTTAGTTAAAGAGTATTTGTTATATTTTTCTTCATTAATTAAGAATATATTGTCCAAACAGAAAACAATTAACAAAATAGATACTTCATTCATATAATGATATAGATAATTAAGAAATTAGAAGATGGTTGTTTTCCTTATTTTTGAAATTAATTAATATTTATTTATAGGTAATCTTCTATACTATTAATAAAAAAAATAGTTATCTCAATAATTGTTTTCCATTTCTTTACATAAACCATTTTAATTTTAACCCTTATTTATTTTCTACAACTCTAAATATCACCAAGTTAGTATCTCTTTTTTTTTTTCTTTTTCTTTTTTTTTCTTCTAAAAGAACTCATCAGTAATTGATCTTTTGTTTTATTTTATTAAGAAACTACTCTTAAAGAATCATTCACAAATATCTATACTAATATATAAAAAAAATACTTTTTTTTAATAATTATCTTGATTTTCACATTTGATAAATTATTATACTTTTTTATTATTAAATTCAAGACTCGAACTCAAAAATTTAAAGCATGAAGATCAATCATTAGACCAACAAGCGTCAGTTATTTAATTACCTTTTTTACTTAATAGCTCACTAGTATAATCTCTTTTCTTTTTCTTATATTTTGTTTGCACAGTATTTTTTCTTCTAAAATTACCTATTAATAACTGGTTATTTTCATTATTCTGAACTAAACATAAATATGGTGTAAGAAAAATGCACAAACAATTGTCCATAAAAATAATGAAGTTAAATGATTGTTTTCGTTACTTCTATATTTCATGTTTCCATATTTAGGTCTCAATTAAATTCAAGCCTACCCCCACTCAAACCTTGTAGAGATGAACACTACAGCTTGCCACTACGAAAATATTCATACTCACCGTTGATCCATTTCTACGCCCTTGTAAAACATTAAAAAAAATCAATATACTTAATCACAATTTTAAAATTAAAACATATCTTATACCTTTGAAAGGCATGATAATACTTCAAGCACAGTGATAATATTTTCAACACTTGACGAAATTAATAATAATAAAAAGTTAATTAACTTAACGCCTTATATATATTATATACATGGGGCAAATTGAACTGCCCCATAAGGACAGGAGTTCAGCATTAAAAGTTGATCCAGGTTACCAAGATGAAATTTAAATTATATTTTTTATTAGTATATGGAATTTTATTTTATTTTTTTATTTGATAAGGAGCAAAATTCCTTCTTACTGGATCTGGATCGGCTTCTGATTCGACGTCTAAGACGGAAATAGCACCTCGAGTGTCAATCCACAAACCACTTGAGACAACGAGTAGATGGAATTTTAATTTTAATAGAACAGTGATACTCACGATTCTGCGCCTAGGATTGTTCCAGTAATAAACATCCAAAATCCGCCTAAGATTGTCAGTGACAAGTGACAACCATAACATCAACAAGTGAACAATTCAAAATGATAATTGAATGTAGAAAATAAAGTACGAGAAATAAAACTAAAAATTAGACGAAATAAAGACGGGTGAGTTTAAAATAAAAACAGCATTTATTGATTAAATTAACTGTAAAAGGTAAAATTGCTATTGTTCACTGAAAAATACTACTGACAGAACTGTCATCATGAATACGCCAAATAGTTTCACCCAACAGGTTTGCTACGGTAAGAATAGTTAACTGGGGGAAATAGTTCTTCTCTGCAACAGGTATTGTGTTTGTAATAATCACCTCTTGAAACAAGCCACCGGACAACCTCTCAATTGCTGGAGGACTGTGATTATGCAAAAACAAATACATAATATGAATACTGGCTCATATACAATGATGAACATGAATGCTACGAGCAACACATTTAATGATGAAGGTCTATAGTAAATCATACTGCTGAAGATATCCATAGGCTCGTATTGATGCAAAGAAAGAAAAACACTGCCCAAAACACTGCCTAACAATACTGATAAAAATGAATAATAAGCTATTAGAGTTATAAACCATAGAACAACGGAAGTTATTGATAATTGAAGAACAAATTATTATGCAAGCATAACATGCTTCAGAATTGGCAGTAGAGACAAGTCAAGACTTTGAAATTCACTTGCTTCTATTATTTACTATGGAGATGCAAAAAAGAAAAAAAAAAAAAACAAGAATAAAAATGTATGGAACAATCGAACGCATTACCTGAAAACAGCATGAGTGCAGCATGCATACACTTCCCTGGCTCCCTCTTCATGTAATAGTGCAGCACCTTTAGCAATGGTCCCTGACGTCCAAAACAAATAAATCAGATATATACCAACAAATATCAATAATGAAAAGGGAAAGA